CATCTCACCAACTCTAGTTTTTTTAGTTACACTGTTGTTGTTCATATGTAAATACTGATGTAGCTATAAGCACGGTTGTGAGCATGGCTGCCTCAGTTAATACCAGAGACTTCCGTTATACCCAGCAGAAGGGCTAAGGAATGTTTATGTCAGTTTTAAAAAAACATGCCATTGAAATGATTTTACATTTTATGATGACCTGCAATCGTATTCCTGGTGCCAATAAGATCTCAAAGGCCTGAGCAGAGCATGGTACAGCCAATGGAAAAATCTCCCTTGTTTTCAGTAGCCTATGGATCAACCCCTAAACTTTGATTCAGCAGAGACATAAACCGATTTTTAATTTATCACACAACCTAAGGGAACTAAGAAGTGCTTCAGGGCACGCGACTGTTCAAGCGCTTTAAGTATAAGCCCGAGAAGTGAACAGCACCTGCAAGAATGCATTCTTACCCTCCTGAAAATGCTGCTGCATTATTCTTTGGCTTCCAGATTTGTTTGCATCCTACTGCAGAACTCTTAGGAATAAAGGGACTTATCCATAGCGTATTAAATCAGTAGAAAGAAGAAGCAGAAGTGTAATCCATTTCATCTTTCTTAAAGCTAGAAGCTTCAAAAACCTTCTACCAAGTTGTCCAAGAGAGCATAATGACATCTTTATATTCAACTAAAACTTATGGCTCCTTAAAAATAGACTGAGATCAGGTGTAGTAATTGAATCTATAGTTTTAGTGATAAGCTACCATGTCTGAAGTCAGTTTTGCAAATTTATAAGTTGTAGACCTTATCAAAAGAGTAAACTAGCAATCTAGATCTCTTCAAATCCCAAGCACAGAATCTGATTAGTTTTAAGCATTAGTTCATTCTCCCCATGGAGATATCACTAGAAGGACTTCATATCACAAACACCACACAAAGAATAACATCAAGCAAATAACGGCATGTGCTCAGTACAAGAAAAGACAACTATTTATTTAGCACAGCGAGTTCAGTCATTTAAGCCTTCTCCTTTGACAAATTTGGTTTCAATCTCGCTTCAATTGAAAGAGGTGAATTTGCTCTTCTCAGCCTAGTTCTCGCTGGACTTTTTTTTTTTTTTTTTCTTCTCATAATGAAACCACTGCACAGCCTGGCACATTAAGGCAGAATAGGAGGTGTTTGCTAAGAGGATGTCATTTGCAAGTCAGGACTGAAGTGCGTTGCCCCAGCTGCGTGCTTTGGAGCTTGTATGGCATCTATGCTTGGTCTACCTGACTCAAATCAACACTAGACCCACACTTTGAAAAGCGCTACAACACAGTCCAGTATAGTTTAAAAGTGCCTTATTTTAAAGCAAGCCCACACGACTATCCAGGGAGGGGAACAGTAATTTTGAGCTTCTAGAACAAACGGGCACATCGTACATTCAGCAGTTCACTAGCCATACATTCTTTGCACTGAGAAGAAACGAGGACTGAAAAGGAATTCAGGTGCTGCATGGCATGATGCAAATGGCACAAAAAAGACACCACGGACACTTTGTGTGAATGCAGGGGAACAAATGAAGGGTCATCTCCAGGTTGGCTTGTTTTTTCCCTCCCCAGACTGCAGTAATATAAACATAATATGTATGTATACATACATATGCAGAATATTCTTCAAGGCAGGGTGGTGTATATACATACACACACACACAGCTGTTTTCCAAACCAAACTGCCAAAGAGGTGGGATACAGGTAGTGAATCTGGACAGCAGATGGCAATGTTAAGTGATCACAGTAAGTAGAAAATCCCTTATGAACAGGACATAGCATGTTCACTGCCTAGGGAGGGTTCGCATGTCGTTACATACCAGATGATGAGCTGCAGTCCCATCACCACCTCTGTGGTGTGTTTCTGGATGAAATTACTGGCCTTGGATCTGAGTGCTCTAAGGGCAGGGCAGGTTGAAGGGGGACAGAAATGGTTAAGGCCCATGTTGAGTGAGAACTGTTTTTCCCCTCTTCTGTTGACAAAGGTTAAGTCACAGAAATAAAAACACTTTAGAAAGTAAAATAGGAGATTCAAATGAAGCAGGTGTTTCTTTTTCCTCCCCCTGTATCTATCTGTCCTGGTCAGGGCAGAATAGATAGACACTGTATCTGTAATGTTGTCACACACTGCTAAAAAAAAAAAAAAAATCATATGCCAGGGCTGAGAGGGAGGGAACAGACAAGACAGGTAGAAGCATCTCTTGAAGACAGTCCTCCCACTTGAAAACCAAAGTCAATGTCTGAAAATCATCACCCTACTTTGCCAAAACATGAATCAGAGCAGGAGTGACCAACTTCCCTTCCTCATGAGCAATGTAAGCAAAATTTCTCTACAGCCAAGAGCTTTGTGCTTCAGAGATCTGAGGGAAGAGGAGCCCAGCAATAGCCATCCCCACATCCAAATCCTAGTACTTTGGATACGTTACTCTGTACCCAGTGGGCACAGGTCTCCCAGTCATGGACATCAGGTTCCTGGCAGGACTGCGCTGCAGTTTGCTTCTGGCTTATGCACCCAGATTTCTCTTGTAGGGAACCAGAATGCACAGTTCAGGGTGCAAGCAGGAGCAGGAGGAGCTGGTATGCAATGGGATCTCTCCCCACTGTGGCAAAAGGATATGCCCAGGGCACTGTCAGGGTCTGGGGGCTTTGCAGCACTCCCAGATTCTTAGTGTAGATGCAGCAGCCTCACCACATCCTCTTGCAAAGCCCTGCCACAGTCGCTGCAAGGGAGCTGTGCTGGGACTGCTTCTGAGCTGTATTCTCTCTCACATCTCTGCTTTCCAAATACTTTTCCTATTCCTTTTCTATTGTTTCCCCCCCCCCCCCCCCCAAATAACCTCTGAACATTTGCAAAACAGGATGAGGGGAAATCAGTCCTCTAGACAAGAGAGGTATTACAGAAACACCCCACCATGCCCCCTTCTGCTTCAAACCAAATAAATTCTCCAGGCTGCAAGTGACATACTGCTACTAGGAGACACATCCACAATATATGCAAAGAGTGCTTTAAGCTACCAGGATTTCACATGGGGCTGTAGCACTCGTGCCAAAAACCACTGTGAACCCAGCATGCCCACCCCCTGTCTCTGTACTGGTAAAGTTAGAGGTAGACATTAAACTTCAGCTGCATGCAGCCTGTTGTTCATCAGAAGACAGCATCTGATACTCCCAAAGGCTGTGCACCTTTGGGAATATTTTATGAGGCTTGGGGAAAAGAGGATGACAAAGCTCACCATAGGAATGGCCAGGCTGCATCAAAAGACCTTTTCTTTGGGGAAGCCACATGCATTCAGCAGACCAAATTTAGAGGTAAATAAGACAGACATGAGCCAAGAGAAGAATTGCCAGATCAGGTTATACACACGCACCATCTTATGCAGTAATCTTGCCAGAAGCAGATACTGCAAAGACAGTGCCTGAGGAATGTACACCTTTCTCTGGCCCTGTACCCACTGAATTTATACATCCAGGTTAGTTAAAGATGTATGACTAAGGCTCTTTAACTGAACTCACTCCACTTTGTCACAATCTCTTGCTAATCATCGCTCAAAACCCCTGCCCATTGGCTGCAGCTGAGCTCCAAGCTCTGCAGTTCTGACCCCGTCTAAGCTCTAACCTAATTTAAAAACAAAATGCAAGGTCTTTTTTGTAAGACTCTTTTGCAGCAGGGCAGTAGACAAGAGTAATCTAATGGAAACTTTCAGAATAAGATCTGCCCACCCCTTGGTGTTAGGGGAAGGGCATCAGCCAATGCACTGAACACCATCTCTTGTTGCCTACCTTCCTTCTCCCCCTCACAAGGTCTGGCTTTAAAGCCAAGGTACTCACCAACGAAACCAGGCTGTTCCTGAGGGCTGGGAATTTGTTTCCAATTCCAAAGTGTGAAGGAGTCACAAATCCCTGCTACCGTCATAGGAGAGAGGTAACAAATCCCCCTAGGACAGACGGACTTCCAGTGCCCTTGAACAGGATTTCCCTGGTATAAAGCAGGTCAGTGTTATTCTCATGGGGTCCCAGGTCCTCTCTGCCCCTAAAACCAGCTGATGTCTCCCTTTTTTCTACTTTCTCACGTACTGAAAAACCATAGCCTTCAGTGGGGAAAAAAATCAGGTGAAAGGCCTGATCCAAAGCCCAAAGAAATGAACAGAAAGAGTCCAGCTGACCTCGAGAGAGTTTGGACTGAGGCCATAGAATCCTGCAAAGCCCAGCCTAACTTTAGGAAATACTAGATCCAAAACAAAGTCTCTCTATCCCCAAACGCTGCCCATATGACCTTGATGAGCCATGGGATCCTGAAGGCTGCCTGCCAACATGCAAGAAACCAAGCAGATGGCAGCTGCTGCCTGCCCAAGGTTGGCATGGGACTTCGCCAGGTATCTCCATGCGCTAACTGCACTGTTGGTCACAGTACAGCCCCTCCGCTCACTCCCTCGCTGGCAGCTCAGCCAGAGAAATGACTTGATGCGACGTCCCAAGTTGCATACTCAGCTCTACCATGCTGCAGTCTCAGCCTCCGCCTGCAGCCAACCTGTTTTCTCTGGGGCGCTTTCGAGTTGGGTTCTTAAAAGTGGGTTGATGAGCAGCAGGTACACAAGACACCTATTAGAGATCACTCTTTGCTGTTTGGGTCAAGGAGCTGCCTTTTGCCTGCAATTGCCCAGTGCTTCCCCTGCCCCAGGGGTGCTAGATAAACACCAGCCCAACACACAGTGACAGGCAAACTGGGTCTTAGCACTAGGCTCCATCTCCCTTTACATCTTCTTTACCACAACCCAACTTAAAAATAAACCAAGCAGAAACCAAAACACAAAGCAGGGACTCTGGATGGGATGCAGAACACTTTGGACTTGAAAACAGGGGACTGCAAGAGAGGTGGGGGTGTCGCCAGGGGAGGACAGCAGGGGAGGGGAGGGGACACCGTCATTTACACCGATCAGGAGAAGCAGTAATCTATACACAGTGGTATAAGCCAAGATATATTACATGAAAGAACACACTGAGTGCATGGAGTTACCCACACTGGGTCAAACTGGCACAGTTGTCTTGAACAAGACTTTGGAGTTGCAGTTGGTGTTTGTTGTTGACCTATCTAGCTCACTTTATATATATATAGATATGTATAGAATTTTTCTGCATGCATTTGTCTCAAAAGGAGCTGTACAGCTGGGTTGGGTTTCTCATCCCCACCCTATCCCGGTCTTCATTTTTTCCGGGCTAGGAACGCCACTCCCACAATCACAGCAAGCGCAGCCACTGCCACTCCTCCAACGATGATCAAGGGCTTCATGTTGTCGAAGATGCTGCCTGGTGACTCCTCGGAGCTGTTTCCCTTGTGGTCAGAGTCAGGGGACTGGCCGGTGGCCTCTTGTGTCTCCGTGGCGGCGGGGCTGGGTTTCAGGTTGCTGTGGTTGTTCACGACGGCAGCATCACCACCTGCCTTCTTGGTGGCAGTGGCAGGAGCAGGCTGCTCTTTGGGGATCTCCTTCTTGTCTGCATTTGTGGCAGGCCCAGGGTTGGGCTTTTCTGGCTTTCCAGAGCTGGGGGCCTTGGCATCAGGTTTGTTTGCACTTCGGACGTTGCCTTTGGAATCCATCCCTACGAGTGCTGCGGGTAGCGACCGGACGCCACGCGTGTGGGGCTATCCCAGCTCTTCTCCTTTGCCCAGCTGCTGGAGAAAGCAGAGGAGTCACCTGAGCTCAACCCCTTGGAGCAGTTGTCTTGGGATGATTCTCACACTGGTGGTGTCCTATCTGGACATGACACAGCACCTGGAAGAGGAAGCAGAGCAATGAGAGGTCAGTGAAAGGACAGAGCAAGCCAGTCCCATTCTACCTGGAAGCAACAGAGGAGGACAGAAGACAAAACTGGAAAACTGTTGGCTCGCTCTTTAGAAACTGTGAGTTGTATTCAAAGCATCTACTACAGTGCCTGTACCTGCAAAAACATCAAACAAGTCAGACTGACTATCATCTATGGCTGCCACATCTAGGCTCCGCGTGTAATGAAGACAAGTCCATCCTGGCCATGTATGTGAAGCCATTTGTCAGTGACAAGATATACTCATGTCCAAGCAAATAAATATTACTTTTCGTTTGCTCACCACAGCTCCTTTCCTCCTGGGTAAGGAGAGAACATTTTGATCAATGGGAAAGCAGATCAATAGCTCCTCCCTGCTTGTATCTCGCTCTCCACCCATGTTTTTTCAGCATTATCCCAAGTTAAGTTTAGGAAGTGGTTAATATGTGGTCTTGTGTGATACTCCCCATCCAGACAGGTACTGCAGAAAAAACAGGATTAGTTCCTCAGTTATCACAGGTATCACAGCTACAAGGATTATTGCTGTCAGCATTTCTGGTGGAGCTACAGCAAAATAAGGCAAGCACGAAATCCTCAGCTGGTGCGAACCAATGTATTGACCCCAGTGCAACTGCATGAATTTACTGTACAGCTGGATCTCACAGTGATTGAGAGATCTCGCTCCTGTCTCCTCTTTGCAGTGCATTAGCTGGGCTTGCCTACAGAGTTGAGCAGGACGTCAGATGTACTGCAGGTGATTAGCTGGAGCCATTTTCCCCAGGGAATTGATGAAAGCAGCGAACAGCAGAGCCACACCCAGAGAATTCAGCAAATAGACAAAGTGGGCTTCAAATGGGTATAAAACCACAACAAAACCATCACCCCAGCAAGCCTCGCTAGGCAGCAATCTAGGCAGGGTGAGCCGGGAGATGGGGCTCCCACGGCTACACCTCTGCACAATGGGAGGAGAGGAGACAGCTGCTGGGCAGCTTGCCATCAGGCCTCCGATGGCGCAGCACCATGTCAACTTTGAGCTTGGGAAATAATGAGTAAACAGGAGGCAGCAGTCAGATCCGAGTCGCCTGCTTTATTACCTCCCTGCTGACCTTCAGCACTGCCAGGAGCCTGCCGAGAGCTTTCTGCCTGCTAAGTGAAATATGAGCTTATTAGCTGTCTGGATTTAGAAATAAAGAGGCTCCTCAAAAACCTCTACAGATACATGTTTCTTCCAAAGTGGCTCAGAGTGCAGATCACTCCTTTAATGACAGACAACAAGAATGTCCCAGGGTTGCAGCAATGGTCTGTGCTGCTGACTCTTCTGGGAAACAGGCTAACAAATGTGGTGGTTTAACCTCCATCTAGGAGGAAACACTGGCCTGGAGGAAACCTACTCACAGAAATGCCAGGTTTGGGTCCAGAGCAAAGCTGGCCAACATATTACAGCTTGGTATAAGACAGAAACTCCCCCTGCTCCTGCTCTCCCTTGTAAGCCATTGTTTGATGGCCACCATCTTCTCCAATGCCAGTCAACTGGAGTTGACTGAGGGAACTGCAGCACCAAAATCATGGAAGTCCATAGCTCTCATGCTATGCTCACCAGGCATGGTGACCGTGATATGCCATATACTGAAAAGGCTGTCTGAAAGGTTGGCAGTTATCCTAGGAGAATAGTCTCAGCTCTTCCTCTAGCATGGAGATGGAACAGGCACTTCCAGAAGGCTTTTCACAGGACCTACCTTACACACCTCCCTTAGAGAGGATAAATTTTAGCTGGGTAGTATTTGCTGAGATGGAGCCTGAAGTCTCCAAAAGATGATCCAAGTTGGCCAGTTTTGAAATAAAACATTGAAAGGTGAGAGGCAGATAATCTGCCCCCAGGGTTTCATAGCCAGTGTTAAGCAGGATAGTTGCTAATCTTCCCTTAGATTTTCAATTCAGCCTAACTCCAAGCTCTTCCCATGGAGATAAAAAAAAAAAAAAAAAGAAGGAAAAAAAAATCAAACCAGCCCTTCACTTGTTTAAAAAACAGCAATCAAATTTCCCTAGCAGCTCTGTGTGGGACAGAACTACTTTGGGTGTAAAAAAAGCATACTCTCTTTGACTGCAGCTAAACAATACTTACATTTCTGAGTTTGTGATATTAAACCATTCTGGAAACCCAAAACACCAGCACTGTCCCCTCATGCTTCACTGAAGATGTATCATACACTCGGGCATCTAGTACCAAACAGTCCCAGATACTCACCAAGCTTCAGACCTTCTCTGTGGCTTGGGACTTGGTAGATAAACATAAGGTCCTGTCCTAGTGCAAGAATATTTTCCTCTCCTTGTTCATTTTGTAATATTTCTGTAGATACCACCTGCCTCACCTTTTCCTTCCTACTGCCTCCAAAGAATATTCATACTGCTCTGCTCAGTAGAAATCTTATGTAGATCCAGGGTGGAGGCTGCACACAGTCACTCACAGGACTCTGCTCTTCTGGCTTGGGAGCAATTTATCCTCATTTTACATCTGGCGCAATGACGACAAAGAAATAGTAAGTGGAGCCCAAGACTGAAACAGGCTTAGAGGTTAAAGCAGGAAGAGTCAGATTCATCATGTCATAAATATTAAATTACCTGCTTAGTCACTTTGATATCAATTAGCTGGGCTACTCACACACTCTCTAGTATTTGTGCAGTTTTACTGTATGAACCAAGCATTAAACTGCTGCTGCTTTCTCTAGGAAAGCTATGTGCAGCCTACGGAGATGGTAGGGGTAAATCACAGAGGGGGCAAACTGGCCCCTTTGCTGAGAAATGGGGACTCTGTGCAGCTCAAGTACCTCACAGATTATCCACACCCCTCATTGATCAGATCTGGTTTCCAGATTCCTGGAAGCAGGAAAGCTGTTTTTGCTCAGAGCCTACACTGTGCCATGGAGCCTTGTCCCACATCCATGCCCTGCACTGCTACAAACAGCTCATTAAAGAATTTCTTGATTTCTAAGTGTGTTTCCACTAAAAGCAATGCAAGCCCCCCATGCAGATTAGAAAAGGTTTTAAAAGATGTAGAAACCAAGCTAAACCAAAAATCAGTATCAGCAGTTCTTAAGCATCCACGTGAAAGGGCTTTCTGCCAGTGGCTTTCCATCACTGGAACCAGCCACAGAATTGCCCAGCATCTCTCCAGGCCCTTTGGCTTGGTTGAGCTGATGCTGTCAAACACTGCATCTGAGAAGCTCAAGCACCCTTTCTGCCCCCAACAGCTGCAGCACAGCTACCAGAGCCACTGGCTGGGTTTGCATCATGCTGGCTTGCAGCCATCTGTGCTGCCCTCTTCCTCCTCCTCTTGACCCAAGGTACTCTTAGCAGCATCCTCTTCCATCATAGTACTTAACCCTCTTCTGTATGATATTAGCTACGTCCCAGTCAGACTCCCTACCTTGGGTATCATCCCCTCTTTCCTTTTGCTCTCCTTCCCCTTTCCAGTCCTGTGCTTTCAAGGGCATGAGCATGTGCTCATCTTTAAGCACTTCTGTGTCCCACAGACTGCAAAGAAAGATGCTTTCCTCATTTTCAAAAACTAAGCCTGCACATAGAGATGTGATGGTTTTTTCCCCAGCCCTTTGTCTCCTCCTCTTCCCTCATTCCATCACACAAAGTTTTTTTTCTAATGGCCTGTTTCTCCACCTTTGCTTTCTTCTTTATAGGTCCTCACATCTATTTATTCCTCCCTTCTCTTTCCTCCTCAGTTGCTGTCTCTGCCTGTCTACCCATTCCTCCCCCTTCCAGCTCCCTCTCTGCCTCCCACACAGACAGCAGCACTTGAGAATAAGGTTTTTCGAGAAAGAGGCTTCCTTCCCTCCCTCCTTCGCCCCCATGCTATTTTCTTTGTTTAACAATCTGTGCCTTTTCAGGGAGGTTTTCACTTGCCAACAGCTAACCAGCTCTCTCCCAGGCTGGGAAGAGGGAGCAGAGATCATTAAACCAGTGATCAAAGAGAAAAAGGAAAAGAAAAGCCCTCCGAATCCCTGCTGCTGCAAAAAACGGCACACAAGCACCACAGCCCTCCTGGGATGCTTCTGGTTGTTGCAGCTCTCAAGGTCAGTACAGACTCACCAGTGCAACAAGCTGGCCCCAGCCAAAGCAACGGGGCAGACATAAGGAACAGCTTTCCCTGGCTCCCTGAAGGGCACCTTTTCTGCCTCACCCCCCCAGCAAATTAGCAAATACATCTATTCATCTGTCTCCTGTGTGCGCAGATGAAAGCCGCATCAATCCTGTGCTGAATGGAGCAGATGAGTCATTGCTTTATCGTAACATATCACTGTTAGAAGGTCCTCTTCCTTCTGCAGAGACCAGCCCCATCCCCCAGCCCTATAATCTTCCCCCCACTGTTTCAAGTTGGAAGGAAAAGCCAGCAGCTTTGCAAGACTGAGCAGCTGCTACAGCGTTTTGGGGTCTGGGGTGCAGTGAGAAGCTGCACCCCCACAGATGTGTGTAGGGTCACAGCAGTGCTGAGCACGGGGCTCATATGTAGGGTTTTTCCCTCCTTCATGAAAAGCAGACCATTTCCATTGGGTCCTCAGCTGCCACACTGATAGCAAGAAAGAATTCAACCAACACAGCGGGGTTATGTACCTGAATTTATACTTGCAACAAAGGTCCATCCACATGCTCCAGGTGTCCTCCAGCTGAAAACAGCAGTCTCCAGAATAGCTACTGACCATCTCTGACCTACAGCAATGCCATGCAGAAAGAGCCAGAGATGGCAGAAAAGACCTTGTATATCCTCAAATCATCTTCCTTACCCCCTAATCTCCCCTTCACTTCTTTGTCATTCCCACCCGTCTGGAAAAAAGGCATGAAGGTTTTCCTTTTGGGGGCAAAAAGGCGAGTTATAAGTACCAAAGCCCCATTCACTTCAGTAGCATGGCCTGTGTTGGCTTTTGGGCAAAGAATTAAATGGGTCCCTATTACTAGGCA